TAGTACCCATCTCACAGCACAGCCGCCCCACACCGCCCCCTAGTGCCCATCTCACAGCACAGCCGCCCCACACCGCCCCCTAGTGCCCAACACACCGCACGGGCGCCCCACACCGCCCCCTAGTGCCCATCTCACAGCATGGCTGCCCCACGCTTGCCCCACACTGCTCCCTAGTGCCCATCTCACAGCGCGGCCGCCCCACACCGCCCCCTAGTGCCCATCTCACAGCACAGCCGCCCCACACCGGCCCATCTCACAGCACAGCCGCCCCACACCGGCCCATCTCACAGCACAGCCGCCCCACACCACCCCCTAGTGCCCATCTCACAGCACAGCCACCCCACACCGCCCCCTAGTGCCCAACACACCACACGGCCACCCCACACTGCCCCCTAGTGCCCATCTCACAGCACACACACCCCTCACCTTGTCCCTGCCCCCCGTGGCAAGGTGCCGGCCATCGGGGCTGAAGGCGCAGCAGGTGACAGCGGCCGCATGGCCCTGCAGGACGGCCAGGGGGGCTGGGGAAGGGTCCGGGAGGGCCTGTCTCAGTGTCTCGGCCAGCCACAGGCAGATGGTGAAATCCTCTGGGGGCAGGAGGAAGGCTCAGACTATGGGCCCCAAAACCCCGCCCCCGCCCACCCCATCCTGCCCCCACCCCATAGTCCTTGGGCACCCCTAGCCTCACCAATGACCCCCAAATCTCCCCCCCACAGATCTGGAAACACCCTGCCTCCAGCCCCTCCCCACATCCTGCAAGCGGCCCCCGCTCCCGCCATCCGTCCTCCCTGCCCCCAGCCTTACCTGAGGCAGACGCCAGCAGCTGGGACGAGACGGCCAGGCCCAGCACGGCCCCCTTGTGCCCCCGCAGCTCCCACAGGGGGCAGGCCAAGCTGCTCGCCAGTGCCCACCCACGCAGGGTCCCGTCCCTGCTGCCTCCAGCCAGCACAGCATCCCCGAGCCAAGCCAGGCTGGGCACCGCCACACCCCCTACTGGGCAGCGCCACCCAGCCGAGCCTGCGGGGAGAGCAAAGAGTGAGGGGGGCCGACCCCACAGGGAACCCAGGAGTCCTGGCTCCCAGCCCCCACCCTCACCCCAGGAGTCCTGGCTCCTCAGCACCGCCCACCCCCACCCACTAGATCTAATTTTCCCCCATAAGCTGGGACAGAACCCAGGTGTCTGGGCGCTTACCCCAGGGGGTGCCGTAGACCCAAACATCATCTGAATGGTGCCCCACAGCGAGTAGGGTGCCGGCGGGGTTGGGGGCCACGCAGAGGGCTGGAGAAAGCGGCCCTGAGCCCAGAGCGCCCCGGGCATGGCCCAGGTGCCCTGGCCAGAGCTGGACCTGGGCCACAAATCAGGGGTTAGTGCTGTGCCCCCGCCACCTCCACCAGTGCCCCTCACTCCCAACCCGCAGCCCCTGCTAGCCCAACCCCCCTCCCCGCCGGTGCCCCTCATTTCCAACCCGCAGCCCCTTCTAGCCAAGCCCTGCCCCCTCCCCGCCGGTGCCCCTCACTTCCGACCCGCAGCCCCTTCTAGCCCAACCCTGCCCTCCAGCCCTGCCAGTGCCCCTCACTCCTGACCCACAGCACCTTCGAGTCCTCGCCTGCCGTGAGGAGGACCTGGCCCCCGGAAAGAAACTTGACCTCGGAGACGAAGCCCTGGTGTGCTGGGAATGTGGCCAGGCTCACGACCTCCCGCCAGGACCAAAGATGCACTGTCCCGGACAGGGAGCCGGACGCCAGCATGGTGCCCGCAGGGGAGAAGGACACGGCGCGGACAGAAGTGTCATGGCCTGAGAGAACCTGCAGGGGGAGCCAGAGTCACAACCCAGCCTGCCCCATCGGTGCCCCTCACTCCCAATCCGCAGCCCCTGCCAGCCCAGCCCTTGGCCCCCAGCCCTGCCAGTGCCCCTCACTCCCGACCCATAGCCCCTCCTAGCACAGCCCTGT